AAATAATTTTCTAAGTAATTATTAATTAATTTTTATCAATATTATCCGATTATAACGAGAATTTTCCTCTCGATCTCTTAACAAATTATACAAGTCGAGAAAAAGCAAAAAAAAAAAAAAAAAATTCGTTTAAGTTATTAAAGTGATAAATTTAATTTATCGAAAGCGTGTACTTTTTCTTATTCTCCAAACAGATAAGCTTTATTTTTATTGATTTTTTTTGTAAACTTTTAAAACAAAAAATAAAAAAAAAGGTAAGTTCATATTCGAGAACATTTTTAGTTTTTAGAATCAATTGTTTTTGTTTCAGAAGTAAGAACAGAAGTTTTTTTTATATTTTTCTTTTTTTTTAAAGAAATTATCTTTATATAAAGGTCTTGTTTTTTAAGGAATAAAATGAGATTTTTCGGAATAGTAACTGCATTTTTTGTAGTTATTTTATTGAGAATTTTTACTGAAAATGCCTTTTAACCAAGGGTGAGACATAAAATTATTTTAAATCTTGTTAAATAAAATTTAAAATATACTCGTTAGGTAACTGCTGAGAAGTAAAGCATCAAAAATTTTCTATTAACTATCGTTTATCCATAAAAATATCTTAGTTTTTATTAGGGAATTATTATTAATGGGGTAGAGCTTACTCAGGATCTAACTGAAGAAAAAAAGATAATGAAGGGATAAGAAAGAGGAAAGAAGAAAATATTGAAAATAAATAAAAATATTTAAAAAAATCTTTATTAGGTTAAAGTTGAAGAGTAAAATATACAAAAATCCACTTAAACAAATAGATGATTATCAACTTGTTTAAGTATATTTTTGTATTGATATATTTTACTTATCATCAACTTTAGTATCTTCAGCTTTAATCATCTTCATTTGAAATTATTAATTGAATAAAAATATGAAAATTTCCTGCAATTATTTAGAATAAATAAAACTATTACTAATTTGTAGTCAAGACAACTTAAATTATAAAAAAAATGTCCTGTTGAGTAGCAAGTAATTACATTTAAACATTCCTATTATTTTTTAAATGATAAAAATTTAATTGAATTACTGAAAACTATATAAAATTATCAAAAAAAAAATCTTTATTAAATTGTAGTTAAGATTATGTAAAAAAATATTTTAAAAAGTACTTTTAAATAACTACTGATGAGTGAAAATATTAAGAAAATTCCAGTAAATTAAGTATTATTGATAATTAAAACAATTAAAATATCTTGTTAATTAACTATTGCAATGTATAAAAGAAAAAAAAGGGGGCAAAGCACCCGTTAAGTATTTTATTATTATGATTATTTTTATTATAGATAATAAAAATCATTGAAGCAGTTACATTTAAAACTATACGTAAAGAATAATTATCAGGTATTTATGTATGAAAACAAAATTTTTATAATGGAAGTCATTTTTGATAAAAGGTGAAACTTTATTATCCTCTTTCATGGTGGCTACTCCTATTTGTATGCTTCCAAACAATTTGGAAGTGGAAGAGCCCCGATGGTTGCACTTCTTGGTAAAGAGAAATTTTATGGGAAGGTTGTAAAAAACCTACTATTCGAAAACTGTGAGATTCGAATAGTAATGACGTTGAAAGATACGGGAAGTGTGATTCATCTCCAGCATAAATACAAAGAAGTGTTAAATTTTGTCAATTCTTCAGATTCAAGCTAGAAATGTTCTGATAAAAATCATAGAAAAAATGTATAGTTTTTTTTTATGGATGAAGAAAAAGGGTTTTTTTAAATATTTTTTTTTCGTTGTTTTCTTCTTTTTTATAGTAGGTTAGAGAAGGTAGAATAACAAATTTTCTTAGAAAGGGTAGAAACGGAAGGGATTATATCATGCTTCTTCTCATAACAGTACCATTTTCCTGCTTCCATAACAGGGATTATTGCTTTTCTAAGTCTTTAAATATACTTGGATGAGATGAGAAAACAAGTAAAACGATTGGAGAATTCTTACAATAAACAGACAAGAAGCTGGTTTTAGTGGATAAGAGATTTTTAGGAAGTTGGCAGGGATTAATGACGAAAAGAGAAAGAATCCTATCTTGAAACCAATTAAATTAATAAGTTAAATATTTAGTTTGTTGATATTTTATATAAATTAAAAATATATAAATATAATTTTCTAAATAAAATAAATTTTTTTTAAAAAATCTAGTACAATCTTTAAATGATACGGCATTCGCAACTCGAATCCTATGTTTCTCTTTTTAGAACGGTTTAAAGGTTTACTGTTACCTGTTCTTGGCTTCTGAATTTGTCAACAACATCAGCTTAAATTGGCAACTACTTTTTTAAGTTAAAAAAAGAAAGACAGATACAAAAAGAAACAAAAAAAAGAGAATTTTATTAAACGTGTTACTTCTTTGGTACGCTGAAAAGAAATTTGTGAATTAAGTTGTTTCGTTCAAGATGCTTCACTTATTTTTTATTAAAAAGGTAATTTATAATATCAGCAATCTTTTAGGCGTTAATAATATTAAATAGGTATGTATAGGATACAGAATTATTGAAGAATTCTCTAACATAATCAGAATTTAATTCAAAAATCTTGTTCTGTTTGTTGTTAATCTAAGAAAAACATTTAAAAAAATTGTTTTAGGTAAACAAACTGCATATTTTTAAAATTTTTTTAAAATATAAGCCAAAATCTTTACAGAATGTGTTGAAGAATTATTGATAACCTTAGAAACTATAGATTCAATTATACTACATTGAGCATATTCTCTTCATTCTAAAAAAAGTTCTTGATGAGCCAAATGATTTTAATATAGGTCAGACAAACTAACGTTTAAACTGTTTTAAAGATGTATTTTCCATGTCAGTTACTACCTAATTTATATATAAATTTATTTTATGTATTTTTGACTTCAGATTTGAACTACTTTTATAACACTAACGTACTATGTAAAAATGTATTTAAGAATAATAATCGTAATTACACGTGCAAGATTTTCCTTTATTGAAATTAATTTTTACAGAATTTTTATATTAAAATTAATTTTTAGTAACAAAAGATATATAGGTTACAAAGTAATGAGATTGTGTTTACGTCTCATTCAAACTAGGATTCTATCCTTCAATTCAATGAAGATTTTGGAACTAATTCAAAGAAAACATAATAAATTAAGTGTGAAATTATAGAAAATAACAAAGTTAACAAATTTTAAAACTGATTATTTTCCATCAAAATCTATCAAAACATTAAGAATTAAATTTAAAAAAAATAAATAAAGAACTATTTAACTAAAGAAACATGATCAGAATTTATTAATATTTTGATAATTAATTTCAGATTTAAACGGTTCAAATCTTTATATTTTAAACAGTTTTAAATTCGTTTATTTTTATGATATATGTATAAAAATATTCATTAATTTCTTTTTTGTCTAAGATAAAGAAAATGACAATTCTTTACTTTCATTAGTGCGATTTAGATAAAATGAATTATTCAGTAAGTAAGTATGTGTAGCATTGCTTTTCCACTTAATCTACCACATCATTTTGTTCGTGTCCTACAATCGAATGACCACTAACTTCATTACTCCTCAAATTTTGAAGGAAACAAACGTGGTCCTCAGGGTATAATTCCATCAGACTGGATATACATTGAAGGATCTGATAATTTAATTTTTACCATTCTTTAAAATAAAGAAAACAAATTTCGAACTCAATTAGATAAGTAAGAGTTAATTAAAGTAAATATTCATCTCTTCCTTTTCTTCTTAAAAATTAACATCAACTAATTTTAGTACTTTCTATACCTTGAAGAATGAGTTTAAATGATTACTAGTTCTTAAAAGGTTGTTTTCTATACTTTAAAGAAGAGAAATTTGCATATAAAGTTTTGTATAATTAAACTTAATCGTGATAAAATTATAGAAGTAAGCATATTTTTAATTATCCTGTTTGCTTAGGTAGGTGAAGAGAGATGGAAAAAGTGAAGACAAAATTAAATAAATCGTTTTGCTGACTGTTTCCAGTTAACGTTACCTTCTAGTACGATACAAAGGCAAAAAAAACTGTATAACTTTGTGATAAAAATGTGTTCATTATTCAGCAAACTTTATAAGGTTTCGCCTTCTCATCATCTTCGTTCGATCGATTCCTCCTGAGGAAGGGACTTCACCGCTGATCAAGCTGTAGCTACGTTGTAAAGCGCGTTATGTTTCTCTCACGTTTATAGGATTTTAAATGATTTTAACCAGAAATTTACTCAATTTAAAACGTAGAGAAATCATTTTTCTT